TGCGCAGCGTTCCTCTGGTCGCTGTATACCGGTAATAATTGCTAGTAGCTATCGCAGGTGGTGTGCAGGCGGCGCACAGAGCTCTGGTGGCGCTCTTTGCATAGCTGCGGTTTTCATCTCAACATATTTTCCACGTCTAATCCATATACCCGCTAATAATAATAATAATAAAGTTCGACTAAATTTGTCGAACAGTATGGTGGCCAGGAGACTGAATTTTTGGCTGCGGCGGAAGAAGCGGATCTATCCATCCATCCATATATATGCACCCGTCAAAATATCCTTCCTTCCCTCCAAGCGTTGGTCGGTGGCCTTCGTCGCTCGACCTGTCATGACCTGCCTGACGGGAGCTGTGCCGTACTGAGGGAAGCCGTGTCGTATTGAAGATAGCTCTGCCGTACTGAGGGACGCAGTGTTGTACTGTATAGAGGGAAAAGCCGTATCCGTCCCTATCCATGCAGCTAGGGCGGCCGTCACACCGGCCCTGCAGGGGTCTCAAAAGGCACCCAAACCGCTCTGCGCTATTCATAAAGGTCCAACAAACACATCCATACACTTTGAATATCTTATATGATTTAGAGGACGCAGTGTGTAATCCAGGGAGGGCGGTATCCCTGTGCCCTATCGTTGAGTTGTAGACCATGTTGCCTAAAGCTGTGAACTTCATGCTCCATGTTATACACATGTACGGGTTTTTGCACGACAATCGTACACAGGAACGCCTGAATCGTGTGAGCATTATTCATGGAACGGTTAGTTGTTGGAGGTTGATAGTTGGAGGTTGATAGTTGAAGGTTGGTGGTTGGAGGTTTTGGAATATGCAGATATATATTGGTTAGGTGGCACCGGTTTAACGAAACGGGCTGTGTTGCGGCGTCAGCAGTTCGCAGTGATGGCCTTGATGACGAAACTCAGGTTTGATGCACTTACTTGATGTGGGCTTTTTTAGTTTTGACCTTGCAAGGATCTGGGCCTTACGCCCCCTCTGGCCTTCCTCATCCCCCGCCCCGTTACTGCACGAGTATGATTTTTTAGCCCTTGATGCCCTTAAGGGATCCCTTAACCCGCAGATACTGTTGCGAACATGTATGACCCAAATGCGAACCAATTTCCTTCTTGGTCCGCGTTATCTGAACAAAGGAGGCTGCCAGCTTCTTCCCCCCTTTTCCCCCCCTTTCATCCCCCCCGCACACACACACACACACACAACGGCCGGCAGGGCTAGTCCCGGGGTCGGCGCAATACGCCTCTCTCCCCCCATCTGTGTGTGTGTTACATGGTTGGGGGTGCGTGACCCCATACCTGTAAAACTACCCATACGAGCCGAAGGCTCCAGGGAGCGCTCACTTCACCAATGACACCGGACCGAGGATGACGGTGAAGGTGATTTCCTCTCTCTCTCTCTCTTTGGTCCGTTGGCTCTTCGGCGGTCTTAGGGTTGCCGTCCAGGGGGGGAGAGGGGGTCCACGCCGAGTTGATGTGAGCTGAGTTGAGTGCGGGTAACAGCTTTGTAAACGATTTTGGTGATGGCCGGTGATGATGGTGATGATGGCCGGTGATGATAATGGTGGTGCTAATGGTGGTGATGAAATTGATAATGGTGACGATGGTGGCGGCGGTTACATTATCAGGTGCCTCTTCCGAGCGATAACCAGACAAGCTTCCTCGGTGTACCCTTTGCTGTTGTAACGTGGTTGAAAAGCTGGCCGGTCTCAACTTCCTTCCTTGGTACTTAAGAGACAGTTAAGACATTCAACTGCGACGTACATGAACAGAACATATATTTGTGTGTGTTCATCCAGTTGAGTTGAATAGGCCCGTACGAATCTTTCATTACAGCACGACATGTGCCCTGGCTCTTGTCTCCCCTCACTTACCCCCCAGGACAAGAAAGAGCAATCCACGCAAGCGGTCGCGCATACATACACACACACTCTCTCTGTCTCTCACGCACACACACACACCTTTTTTTCCACAGCTCTCCCTGGTGCCGTTCGTACGTACTGCAATAATTCCGTACACAGTACCACCCTTTGTGAGAACGCGCCTTCCACTATCCTCCTTTCGCCCCTCACGCCCCCGTCCCCCCATCCCCCCAACCATCCATCCACAAACATACATACATACAGCACCCCCCGCTCCATTCCCTGCCCCTAAAATAACTGCAGCATCACACCGTACCGCCTCCAAGCAAAAGCCACCAGCTTGCCTTTTTTACGCGAAACGGCAAACTGCCGCCAACCCTGCGTAAGCTCCAAACTAACTCCCCCTCTCATAACTGTAAATAAGTAAACCACCAAGACAGAGGCTTCCCGGCAATAATACCAGTCCTGCCGCGCCAGCATTCCGTACCCAAGGGGGGGGGGGCCGCGGGGTGCAGGAAAAAAGATTTCCTGCCTCCTATCTATCTAGGGAAATTCAGGAAGCTCTGAACGCTGAGGAGAAGAAAGAAACCATCCGCTCCGAAGACACGTCGATACTGCTGCTGCTGCATATCGGGGCGCCCGCATATAAATATCCTCTCCTCTCAACCCCCCAGTCGTACAGAGCGTCATTCAAACGCAAGGACGGGTAAGTCTTGAGCCCACCGTAACAACCACACAGAAGGAAGGGACGGGGAGAGAAAGAAATGGAGAGCACCCTCGTTATAAGGTTATCTCCTCCTCCCCACCCCCCCTAGCGCAAGTAGAGCTTAAATCGCACTCAGTCCCGAAACAAAGCGAACGAGCCTACGCCACAACACGTACACCGAAAGTGAACAATCGTAGGCGGCGCCATTTGCAGCTCACCATCACCATCACCACCTCCGTGCAACTACCACCACCAACCACCACCACCGTTACAACTACCACCACCACCACCGTTAAAACCACCAACCACAACGGCACTCGAGAGGTAGACTCCTCCGCCTGGGTGTTGGTCAAACCAGTGAGTCCCCCTCCCCCCCTCCCCGTAATCACCCATGACAGCACATGACGCTGTCGACCGGTGTGCCGCCACCGCGAGCAGACTTTAACTCTCTCTTTCTCTCTCTCCCTCTCTCCGCGTTCGTGTGTGTTTGTGTGTGTATGTGCATGTTGTGTCTGTGTCTCTTAGAGAGAGACATTGCTTGACCTCTGCGACTGTGTGCTCTATACCTTTTGACAATTACAACTTGTAACGGCTACTCGGACCCGTGTCCTCTACCTGCTGCCCTAGGCCCCCGCAAGGCCCCCTGATGCCCCCCCCTGGCTGTGTAACATGGGGGCCTGCACACTAACATCCTGCGAGACCGCCGCGAGTGGGGTAGAAGCCGCCAACAGAATCCTTTCTGTTATCTGCCGCCATCCACAAATACTTAACCATCCTATCACCGCCTTCACTATGAGTTACCGTTTGCACATACATACATACACGCAAACATACACATACATACATGCACACAGACAAAATACAAAAGCACAAGAACGCGTTTTCCCGGTTAATCAGTTCGCTGGAGCAGTTAAATTTTGACGACATAACTTCCAAAAACGCACCTGCATTTAACAAACCCAAAGGCGAATCCCGGCTTACTCATCCTGCTTCTATATTCTGCTCCCCCTCTACAACTGCGACGTCAGGGGTCATGTAGTTAAACCCACTTCTCCTCCAAGCAGCAGCTGCAGCAGCAGCAGCAGCGAGTGACAATGACCCTTTCCCTCCACCCCCCTACCCCTCTACCCCCCTACCCCTCCACTACCCCCCCGGGGCCCCCGCCGGCGGAGTATTCCTAAGTTCCCCTCGCATATGATTTGCCCTCACCCTGGCATGGCATGTCATGTTTCATGGAAAAACAAAGATACATGTATACTTTGGAGGTGGCCTCGCGCATGCAAGCATGTTTGCATGCAACCCCTGGGTTCCCCGCCAGCCCAGCCCGAGTGCCGAAGAGCCAGCGTCCCTAAATCCCCCTCTGGTCCCTCCGAAACCCTCCTCCGAAACCATCTCCCTCTAATCCGTAGTAACTTCAACCAGCCGCATATAGCTTACACCCCACCCCCAGTCGCAGATCGCAGTTCTGGAGTGACCTGTCTGGAGGGGCCCCTCCTTTGGTAACATTGCCCTCCTCCCTTTCTTCTTTCTGGCTATATATATGTATATATCGCATTTGCAATGTCCTCACCACCGACCACCGACACCTTTGCAGGTCATCCCCAAGAAGTTCCCCGAGCCCCCTCTTCCCGCCCCTTCCCGCCCCGTGTCTTGTGCGCACTCCAAGTGGGGGATCCTCTAGAGT